GGTGGGCAGGAGTTTTATCTCATGGTCATTCCAATTTGAGCTGCATTATTTCTCCTGCTTACCTGGGGAGGGGAAATATATACTTTCTAAACACAGTTTTCCTTTTCTAGTTTCCCAGACAGATGCATCATCGGATAACAGCACCTCTGCAGCTGGCTGCATCTGCCTGGAATACCAACGGCAGGTAGTTCCGATGGTGACCGTGGAATGCGAGGGGCTGGGAGGGGGAGAGCATCTTGCCTTTTCTTGAAATAAAGCCTGTTGGTCTGAGGACGTGCCATTCAGACATGGGTACCAACTCCATTCTCCCTCCCTCTCCTTCTGGGGTGGGAGAAGAGGCAGTGGGGAGAAGAAAGTGGTAAGAGGATGAGCTAACACTTAATGACACTTCCTACCTGCCAGGCAGTGGTAACTTTCCATTTCATTTAATATTCAGAACAACCTTAAAATGTAGACATTCATCTTTCTACTTCATAGATAAGGAAAGTGAAATTCAAAGAATAGAAAGAACGTGCTAAAGATGTAACAATGCAACAGTAAGTAGAAATTTGAATCTGCTTCTAGCTGATTCCAAACCTATGTCTTTTTTTCTTTTCTTCGAAATTTTATTAATTTTTTTGATATGTTTTATTGTCTTTTAAATATTTTTTGGGTGGAGGGGGAATTAGATTGATTGATTGTTTAATGGAGGTACTGGAGATTGAACCCAGCATCTTGCTTATGCCAGGCGTGCACTCTACCACTGAGCTATACCTCCCCCCCTAATATTTGTCTCCAAGGCCCTAAGAGGGGTGAGAATTTGTTTAGTGTCACAAAGCTGGCCTAGAAGAAGATTATATCTTTCTAGCTTCACAAAAGGAGGGGGAGGCAGGGCTAGACAAAACATGTTGGTCATGTGTTTAAATACAGGAGAGGAAGAATTGAAGAAGTTTTTGACTGTTAGTGATTCCATCTTTCATTCATTTTATATACATATATATAAATATATATACACACACATACATACACACACACATACATACATACAGTGTTTACTGTGTGTCAGACACAGGGTATCAACTTATATAAAGAATATATTAGAAAAGGCAGCATTCAGCCCCAGGCTTGAGGGAGACCCTCTACTGATCTCTGGGGGCTCTCTCTCAGGACAGCTCCCTCATCTCTGATGTTCATCCTTGTAAACAGCTGCCCTTGACCTCCTCAGATTCCCAGTTTGACCTCCTAAGCTGAGGGAGAATTTTGGGCTATGTCTGGCATCCCCTTTCTAGTCTGAAGCCTGGAAACCCACTCCTGTCACTGACTGAGGAAGTCACAGGGCTCATCTTGTTTGTGTATTCTCTCTTCCGGATCACTGCCTGATGCCTAGTGTCTGAGGACTCTTGTTTCATATATTTTGTCTAGTGTTTTAGTTGTTTCAGGTGAGAGAGTAAATGTTGTCCTTGTTAGTCCGTCTATATCAAAATTAGAACTCCTGATAATATTTTATTTGCATTCTTTTTAATTGAAGTATAGTCAGTTTGCAATGTTGTGTCAATTTCTGATGTACAGTACAACGTTTCAGTCGTATATATACATACATATATTTTTTTCATATTCTTTTTCATTATAGGTTACCACAAGCTATTGAATATAGTTCCCTGTGCTATACAGTTTTTTTTTCTGGTGCTACTTTAAATAGTATTAAAGTCAAACTTAAAAAAAAAATTTCACTGGAATTTGACACAACATTGTAAAATGATTATAAATCAATAAAAAATGTTAAAAATTTTTTTTTATATTCTAGAGAAAAACAATTGATTTTTGATATTTGCCCTTGTGTCCTGTCCACAGGGAGTGGCTACCTTGGGCATTTGCTTTGTATGGCTGAGGACTGGAGTGCAAGAGGGCAATGAGTTCAATTCACTTATTAGTTTTCACATTTTGGGGGGTAGAGTCCTTTGGAATTTCTATATACACAATCACGTCATCTGTAAATACAGAAAATTTTATTTCCTCCTTTGCAAACGGTATGTGTTCTCTCTCTATCTCTGTCTCTTCCTCTTCTCTCTCCCACCTCCCTTATTGTTGTGCTAGGAACTCTATTACAATGTTGAATAGAAGTGGAAAGAGCAGATCTTCTTGCCTTGTTCTTGATCTTGGGAGAGAAAGCTTTCAGCCTTTGGTAACCATATTTTGTTTTCTATGTCCATGAGTCTGTTTTTGGTTTGCAAATAGAATTTGTATCTTTTTTTGTTTACATTCCACATATAAAGTGATATTGTATGATATTTGTCTTTCTCTGTCTGACTGACTTCACTTAGTATGATAATCTCTAGGTCCAACCATATTGCTGCAAATGGCATTATTTTATCCTTTTTTATGGCTGAGTAGTATTTCATTGTGTGTGTGTGTGTGTGTGTGTGTGTGTGTGTGTGTGTGTGTGTGTACACCAGAGCTTCTTTGCCCAATCATCTGTCTATGGACATTTAGGTTGCTTCCATGTCTTGGCTATTGTAAACAGTGCTGCTATGAACATTGGGGTGCAGAGGGTGGCTTTCTAATTTATCATCCTTACAGGTATTCTCCTAGCAAGCTGTGCAGGGCAACACCTCCTCAAGGATGTCCTTTGGCACCCCAGATGGCTTCCTGGGCAGTGTGTGGTGGTCTTGCAAACTCTACAGCACAGACCCTCCATGTAGATGGCTTTCTCAGGTACCCCAGAGGGTAGCTTCTTGGTGACTTCTGTTAGCACAACATCTCTGCCATCCAGTGGGTCAAGTCTTCCCCTTTTCCACCACAGGTTAGATATCAGCTGAGGGGGCGGGGCCTCTTCCAGATCAGCTTCCATCTCAGACCTAGAGGTATAGGCTGCTCCCTATAAAAGGTTTGTGAATCTCATTGAGTTCTTTCTTTCTCTTTAGAAGGTAATCTCCTGTTATGGTTAATCATTCTTTACAATTAAAATCCCTCTGTTCAAACTAGAGTGTGTTTTCTGTCTCCTGAGTGAACTCTGGCTGATACACTGAAAAAAGAAGGAAATAAAAATTTCAGAGATGGGGAGGACATGAAAGATAAGGGAAGGCTGACTCTAAACAAGGAGAGGAGCATCCTTTGAGCCTGGAAACCACAGAAAGGATATGTGGTGGGCAGTCAGAATGCACTTATGAGAGAAGGAGGCTAGATGCTGAGAGAGTCCTTGGCTTTGATGTTCTCAGTGAAGTAGGAAGCTAGGCTACCTGCTGAGAGCTTGGGGAGAGTGAGACCGATTTATAAAAGCCCTCGAAGACACTTTCAGAAGACCAACCTGTACCATATTACACAGTTTTCTCCACAAGGACCCAGAAGTCCAGGCTTTTGGGCAGAGCAGACAGTTGTAGGACTCAGGGTCAGGACTTTCAAGGGCTTGGGAGTGGAAAGAAAAGGCAGCAAAGGGTGTTGACGAGGCTGACGAGAAGTCATTCGGGTTGTTGACCAGAGATCTAGCTTGGGTTTCCAAAGGCTGAGCCCCGGGGCTGAAGGAGGAGGGAAGATAAACTGTGAGGCAAGCAAAAGGTTAAAGTGCTGGAACTCAGTGAGGTCAAGGAGTGGGGAAGTGGGAGGAACAGAAGAGAGCGGGAGGGATTGTGGTCCAAGTGGGATGCTGAAGTTTAGTTTCTGAGAGGTGGAGCCATGCTATATAATGGCCCAATTGTGGCCTTCAAAAGCATGGCTGAAAGCAGCGTAAAAGGTTATTTGAAGTCATCAGGATAAAGTTAGGGGGAAGTAAGAGTGCTGGATGCATTGGCCTCAGCGATTTGTCTCAGGGCCATGGTGGGAGTTCACGTGTAGGGGTTAAGTGGACAGAGTCCTTGGCTCGTGTGGGCCAGGGTCAGTGACAGCAGCAGAAGAGGTAGAGGGCAACGAGCCATGCAGTTTGCGGAGGGCTTTAAACAAGGGTGGAAAAGTCAGAGTGTGAAACTGCCAGGGAAAGCTGGGAGACTGCTGACCCCGAGTGCACTCCGCTTGGCTGGAAAATGGAACTCGTGTGGGAGGGAGAGCCGCCTCCACGCAAGAGGGCTGCAAGGGGAGCAGTGTCCTTGGGGTAAGGCCAGGGTTTAGATACGGTGAAGGGGAGGATAGAGTGAAAGTTCTGGGAGGGTGCAGTGGATGTAGGATTTGTTTTCAGTGGAACAAGGGTTACCAAGAGCACAGGGGAAAATATTCAGGCGGAAAACAGCGACAGGAAGGTGGAGAGGAAAAAGTGGCCCACAAAGGGTCTTAAAGTATGGTGACCGAGTTTTCATCCCTGTATTACAGTACCAGGCACATAGTAGGGGCTCAATTAATATGTCTGAGTGAGTAACTGAATAAGTGAGTGAATAAATAAACTCTGTTCCCTGCAGCTGCTCACTTGGGTTCTCTGGGACTTAGTTTCTTCATTTGTTTACTGGGAACGCTGCTGCTTTTATCCCCCTCGTTCTGAAATTTATAGCAGTTTCCTCTCCAAAGCCCCAATTCTTTCCATCTGGCAGAGCGGGTCTCTTATTATTCTATTCCGTTTCACCCTAGGAGGCAAGGAGGGTCAGGGCTGAAGCTTCCTCTGTTTTACAACTTGGGAGAAACTGAAGTTTTGAGAGAGCCAAGAGTTCACCCAGTGTCATAGAGTAAGACTGAGAAAGAAATAGGAGTGCTTTCCTCCGTTCCAGTCTGTTCTGTGGCCCTTAAAGCAGCCCTGGGGCCAGGGTGAGTGACGCAGGGGACTCACAGGGAACAGTAGTCCTACTTGGGTGGTGGATGGTCAGGATCTATGCAAGGCAGCGTCCAGCAGGTGGGGGTGTGGAGTTGCCGAAGGCTGGCAGCCTCGAGTAGAACAGAAGGACTGAGACACTATGTGGCAGCCACCTCTCATTTGGATGGGAGAGGCTCTTCAAGACTGTCCTTGCAGTCTGTGCAGAATTCTCCAACCACTACTCCAGAGGGGAGGGGCAGGAAGCAACCGGAGATGGATACTCCCTGCCTCTTTTCCCTCTTTGCCCTTGAAGGCCAGTCCCGAGGTCCTGATGACGGTGAAGGCTGCCTCATTGAGAGTGCACAGCGTTGGCAAGTTCTGAGTCCCAGCACACCCACATTCTGGCCAGGTACTCAGGCCACTCACCTGACGTCTGTGAGTGAGTGATCCTGGGGTCTGTTCCACATGTCTCAAGCTTTTGTACTGAAATATACACGAAGGCCTTGGTAAAGACTGAAAATATAAGGATTTATTATTAATGATTAATGGGTCATTACCAGCAAAAATATGCACCCTGATCTAGTCTAGAGAAGGGAAGAGGAATTCTAGGGATGGTGAAGGTTGAGATTTTACTATATGCACTAAGAACTGACCCTTCTGAATATATGCTTTCACCTCTGTGAGGCCACAGAGAGGATGGGTAAGAATTTCAGTTTGCCACAGGACATTGTAGGTAGGTTGTAGGGAGCACTCAGAAAACAGAGGCCATAAAAAGAAGGGTAATAAAATACCGGCTATTAAGTATCTGCTATGTTCCAGGCACATTACATGTGTTGTGATTTAATCACCATGACAGCCCAATAAGATAGATATAATTATCTACTCTAACTTGAAATGGAACCTCAGGATCTGAGAGGTTAAATAATAGCAGAGAGTGACACAGATAACAAGCAGTGATGGCAGGATTTGAACCCACGTCTGTTCGGCTGTGATAGCCCATCCCTTTCCCACTGTAATGTGTGCCTTATACTTTCTAAATCTTCAAATGCCTTTCTGTGGACCTGTCTTAAACTGGTCCTTACTTATGAATCACTCAGGGGGCTGTTAAAATGCGTCTTCTTGAGTCCTGCCCCAGGGAGAGCATCACCAGTGATGCAGGGTTTTCTCTTCTCTTTTTCTTCTCAGTCTGTGTCCCTCTTCATTACTTTAGTTGTTTAATGGGTCACAGTAATCAGCACTTCTGTCTCTTTAACACCTTACACTTTATACCTTTTGTTGAAAACACGAGCAAATGCACATTCATCTTGTCAAACCAGGGGCCCCCGTGTCTCCCCAACAACCAGCAGCTCCATCTTGTTCCAGGAGTACATTTTTATCCAGCTTATTCTGCCGGGGTTACAGGAACCATCTTTGGACACAGACAACTCACTAGTGGGGAGAGGTCTCCACTTGGGGAGGACCGGGCCCTGGGAGGAAAACAAATGCAGACAGCAGGTGGGTTCCTGGGGTTTTATTCACCTCATAGTAAGTAAGTATTTATAGAGTACTATGTGCTAGGTCCTGGACATTTTGGGAATGGAACAAGGCATCAAACAGATGAAGTCCTTGCTCTCATGGAGTGTTAAGTGGGTGGACAGGATGAGGTGACATTTGAGCCGAGGTCTAAATGAAGTGATGGAGTGAACCATGAATTGCCTGTAAAAGCATACCAGGAGAGGGAACAGAGAGTGCAAAGACTGCAAGCAGAGGTCTTTTGGGTGTGTCTGAGGAGGTGTCAGAGGCCAGTATCCACAGGAAGGCTGGAGTGGAGCATGCAGAGAGGAGCAAGGTAGGAGATGCGGTGGGCAAGAGACAGACAGCACAGGTTGGAGTTTGTGGGGCCTTGTAGGTCTCTGTGAGAGTTTGGGGCTTTGTTCCCAATAAGATGAGGAGCCATTGGAGGGTTTTGTACAGGGGAGTGACATGATTCAATTTGGGTTTCAATAGGATCACTCTGGGTGCTGGGTTGAGAATAAACTCTACAGGGGTACAAGGGTGTTAGCTGACTCTCAAGGCAACTCTGCTCTCTGTTGACTTTTGTCTGGATTCTAGCCTCATCCTTCTACCATGATGGCCAAATGGGGAAGACTGGCCAGCTATGATCCTCCACCATCCTGTCTGCTCCCCTGCTCCTTCCCAGTCGTGGTACCATTAGTCTCCATAGTTACAAACTGAGAACACCAGTGAACATGATGGTGGTGGGGATGCTGACCACAGTAATGCTGTCTGCATACCAGATAAGCCAAGCTGAAATGCCCCCATTATACCAGAAAGAATTTTGGCTTAGGGAACAAAGCGGCAGAGCCAAAATTCATCCACTTACTGAGTCATTCATTCATTCTCTTAACTCTTGCTGAGCACACTCCATGTGCCAAGAACTGTATGAGCCACTGGAGAACTAGAAAATTTTGAAAAAGTCCCTAATACATAAACTCTGCCCCAGAGGAAACTCTCAAGCTAATTACTAACGTTGATCAAGCACTTTTTGATGGATCAGACACTGATTTAACCTCTTTTCATGTATTGCTGTGTTGAATCATTGAAAGCAACTCTTTCAGGCAGACGATTTTACTTGCCATTTTAAAGATGAAAAAATCGAGGCGCACAGAGGTTGAGCAACCTGTTCAAGGTCACCCAGCTATGAAAGGAACTGATTGGAGCCCAGACAATCCAGCTCTAGAGTCTAAACTACTGCACTTCTTAGACTAGAAGGGAGGTAGCGAAACACATAATTATAATGCAATGTGATGAGTATTCACTAGAGCAGCTGGGAGCTTTTGACATTATTGAGGGGCAAGGCCCAAAGCCATTTCAGATTTCCAATCCTGTTAATGCCACTGTAGTGTATAACTTCTCCCTGTAAAACGCTGTAAAGTACAACTAAGGTTTTTAAGTGATGCTTCTAGATTCTTAATAAAAGATTAAAGTAATTTATAAAGCTATTTTCTGGCTAAGAACCATCCCTTTCTTGGACTGCTTCACTCACTCATCATTTCCATCATAAGCTGATAGCTTTTTTTCAGGCAGTCCATTCTTCATAAAGGAAAAAAAAAGCTTTTATAACAAGTAGAGGTCAACCAAGTGGGGTTGGACTATGAAGGTATGAAGGTGGGTGAGGGCTTGGCTCACTCATCATCTCAGCTCCTCCTTCGCTGTAGGGACCTTGCAGCTGGCTGGGATCAAATTTGTGTCTCAGTAATATGACAGATCAGTGCAAATGGTGGACCTTTAGGATTTGGGGAGAACAGCTGAAACCACAAATCTTACATCCTAGAATGCCACGGGGATAGATTAAGGGCTTCTCAGGTACTAAGAGCACAGACTGAGTCACAAATTCTGCCAGGAGAAGACAAGGAAAGCTTCAAGGGGTAGATTAGATTTGGGCTGGGCTTGAAAGCTGTGTTGACATTCAACAGGTAGTAAGGTGAGGGAAGGGTGTTCTAATAAAGGAAAAAATTGTCTGATGGATCTAGGGAAGGGCCAGTCTTCTGGGCCTTCTGGGATCATTCTATCCTGAAACACTTTAAGTCTTGGGGGCAGAATCTAAATGGGACTTTTTCCACTACGTAGGATATTGTATAATAAGTTATATCTTCACTCATGAATGTTCCCTTTCTCTCTTTCTCTAGCTTTACTGAGTCAGAATCAACATATAATAATTGCACATATTTAAAGTTCACAATTTTGTAAGTTTTCGACATACCTATGAAACCATTGTCACAATCAAGATGGAATGTATCTGTCACTGGACGTTTCTTTGTGTCCCTTTGTATTCTCTCTTTTCCATCTTTTCTCGCCTCCTCCCCTCCTTGCTTCTGGCAACCACTGATCTGCTTTCTGTCACTAGAGGTTGGTTTGTATTTTCTAAAATTTTATATAAATGAAATCATACAACATATGTTCCTTTTTGTCTAGCTCTTTTCACTTAGCATAAGTATTTTGAGATTCATCCATATTGCTGTGTGTATCAATGGTTCATTCCTTTTCATTGCCAAGTAATACTTCATTGTATGACTAGACCACCATGTGTTTCTCCAGTCTGCTGCTGGTGGGCATGTGAGTTCTTTCCAGTTTGGGGTTATTAAAAACAAAGTTGCTATGAACATTTTGATACCAGTGTTTTATGGGCTTGTTCCATCTTTCCTTTTGAGGAAGTATCTTGGAGGGTGGTAGTAATATGTTTAAATTGAAAAAAAAACGAAACAAAAAAACAAGGGCCAGACAGTTTTCCAAAATGGTTGAACCTTGAAAGTTTCAGTTCTGCATCCTTGCCAACACTTATATGACCATCTTTTTAATTTTAGCCATTCCAATAGATACATCATGGTATCTCATTAAGGTTTTAAATTTGCATTTCCCTAATGACTAATTATGTTGAGCATCTTTTAGTATGCTTATTTTCCATCTGCCTATTTTTTGTTGTTGTTGAAGTGTCCAAATCTTCAGCCCATTTTAAAAAGTAGTTGTTCAGAAATAGAGTCACTGACATAGAAAACAAACTATGGTTACTGGTGGGGAGGGAAGGGAAGGAATAGATTAGAAGTTTGGGATGAACAGATATACACTACTATATATAAAATAGATAACAACCAGGATTTACTGTATAGCACGGGGAACTATATTCAATTTCTTGTAATGGAATGTAATGGTAAAGAAACTGAAAAAAAAAGTATGTATGTATGTATACTGAATCGCTTTGTTTTATATCTGAAACTAGCATTGTAAATTGACTATATTTCAATAAAAAATAATAAGAAGAAAATTGGTTGTTTGCATTCTTGTTGTTGAGTTTCTAGAGTTTGTTATATATTCTGGACATGAGTCCTGTATCAGATACATGTTCTACAAAGAGTTTCTCCAAGTATGTGGCTTGTTATTTTATTCTCTTAGCAGTTTCTTACATAAATGAAAAATTTAAATTTTGATGAAGCCCAATTTATCAATTTTTTTCCTTTAATGGATTATGCTTTTGGTGCTTTATCTAAAAAATATTTGCCTAACCCAAGATCACAAAAGCTTTTTTCTATGTTTTCTTTTAGAAGTTTTCTAGTTTTAGGGTTTTTTTTTTTTGAGATACAATTCACATTCCATAAACCTTACTCTTTAAAAGTACACATTTCAGTGGTTTTTAGTATATTTACAAAGTTATGCAATTATCACCACTATCTAGTTCCAGAACATTTTCCTCACCCCAAAAGAAACCCTGTATCCATTAAACAGTCACTCGCTATTTCTCCCTCCTCCCAGCCTCTGGCAAACACCAATCTACTTTCTGTCTCTGTGAATTTGCCTATTATGAACATTTAATATAAATTGAATCATCCAATATGTGGCCTCTAGACTGCTGCTCTAATCTACAGGTTTTTGTGTGGACGTAAGTTCTTAACTCTTCTGAGTAAATACCAAGGGTCATGGTTGCTGAATTGTATGGTAAGAATATTTTTAGTTTCATAAGAAACCGCTGAATCATCTTCCAAAGTGGCTGTACCATTTTGCATTGTCACCAGCAATGAATGAGAGTTCCTGTTGTCCCACATCCTTGTTAGCATTTGGTGTTGTCAGTGTTTTGGATTTTGGCCATTCTAGGTGTGTTAGTGGTACCTCATTGTTGTTTTAATTTGCATTATCCTGATGACATATGATGTGGAGCATCTTTACATATGCCATCTGTATATCTTCTTTGTAGAATATTTGTTCAGGTCTTTGGCCCATTTTGTAACTGAATTGTTTTCTTATTGAGTTTTAAGAATTCTTTGTACTTTTGGAACAGTTCTTTATTTTTTTTTTTGGCAAATATTTTCTCCTAGGCTGTGACTTGCCTTCTCATTCTCTTAACGTTGTCTTTCATGGAGCAGACATTTTTAATTTGATTGAAGTTCAGCTTAGAACTTATTTCTTTCATGGATCATGCCTATCATGTTGTATCTAAAAAGTCATTACCATATCCAGGGTCATCTAGGTTTTCTCCTACGTTACCTTCTAGGAGTTTATTTTTTATTTTATTTTTTTAACATTTTTTATTGATTTATAATCATTTTACAATGTTGTGTCAAATCCCAGCGTAGAGCACGATTTTTCAGTTATACAGGAACATATATATATTCATTGTCACATTTTTTTCTCTGTGAGCTACCATAAGATCTTGTGTATATTTCCCTGTGCTATACCATATAATCTTGTTTATCTATTCAACAATTTTGAAATCCCAGTCTATCTCTTCCCACCCCCCGCCCACCTTCTAGGAGTTTAACAGTTTTCTGTTTTACAGAAACAGACTCATAGACATAGAATACAAACTTGTGGTTGCCAAGGGGGAGGCGGGTGGGAAGGGATAGACTGGGAGTTCAAAATTTGTAGATACTGACAGGCATATGGAGCACTGACCACCTAACAGTCAAGGAAAGCTGAGTGTTCGGGAATTCCGCTAATCCTTAAACCTTAGTAGCTTCCCTCTGGAAGGGGTGAAGGCACAGCTACCGATAGGAAGTCATTCTCTAGGCTGCAGCAATGTTACAGTGAGGATGATGTGTCAGAATGAGCAGGAGCTTTGGAGTTAGACGCTTGAGAGCCCCAGCTGGGTTCTCTGGGAACCAGATACTAAAATGGAGGTAAGGGTACAAAAGGGGAGTAAGACCTGTGAAAGGAACAGGCAGGAAGGCGGACTGGCCAGGAGGAGGTCTCAGCCTGAGAAGCAGACCTGACAAAGCCTCGGCCAGTCCAGGGGGGCACCTGGGGCAAAATTGCTTGTTAGAGGAGTTCCCTGTTGGTAGAGGAGTGCTGGGCCCATGTACCACCATCTTGCTCATTCATTGGCTGGGGCCACCCTTGGGAAGAGCATGACTGTAGCTCAAATGCTGATGGGTCCCTGATGGAACTAACTGCTGGAGGAAAGCAGAGCCAACACTCTTGGCAGCGGGGCAGCAAGCCCTTTATTGAAGGAGCAATGAAAGCAGTAAACCTTCAAGTGTGCTATACAGACAGACCTGAAGTTCGAATCCTGGCAACATGTGACCTTAGGTCACCACTGTGACTCAGCTTCCTCAGTAAAATGGGGAGAAGGCCTTCCTTACAGGGTTGTGGGAGGATTAGACAAGATGAGGATGAACATGGTGCCTGATACAGTACAGGCATTCAACCAGGTTCCTCCATCTCCCCTAGATGGAAATTAGCCAAGGGAACATCCTGTTCCACAAATCAAGTCCCACCCCCGCTCTTTATAAACTTCATCTCCTCTC